GTCTGGGTATCAATTTATTTTGGTAAGGGCTAATTGGAGTTCTATATGCTTCACTTACTGTATGTCCAGTTCTTTTTCTGTGCCTGGGAAATTTTCTGCAAATAGTATTTTTATGTCATTGGTGTTGGCACCTGCTATTTCATCAACACCTACTAATCGTATATTATTTTCCTTTGCTTTCTCTTGCAGTTGTTGAATTGTTATTTCCTAGTTCCTTGTTATTTTTAAGGATCCTTTCTTTCACATTCATTAGTGGCAATGCTATCTTCAAGGTCTGAAAGTCTATCTTCAGCTTCCTTCAAGCGGTTTTGCCAGATTTCAATGAAATTTTTAATTTCCTGGATATCTGTTTGAGTCTGTTTTATGCACTCCACTTCTGTTCTATATTGTTCACTTAAGGTTTCCATGAGTTTCATATGCTCCTCTATTTTCTTATCAATGTCTTCTTTGGATGTGCTGAGCAATTCTTCCATTATTATTGTCATTTCCTTTTTTACCTGAGAGATTATTTCTGATCTGATGTCTTCTATGGCCTGATGGAGTTCTTTCTTTACTTCAGTTGCTATCATTTCAAAAGTTTTAGGAGTATGACTTCCAGGTTCTTCTCTGTCAATGTCTCCTGGACTTGTTCTGGGTGGGGTAGAGGTCTGAGATTGCATGTTGCTCCTTTGTTTTGTCATTTTTGAAGATCCAGAGGTTCCCTGGAGCTCAGCCTCACTCCCACGTGGGAGTGGTGGGGCGAGGAGTCAAAGGTCCCCAGTGCTCGGCGTGGCTCCTGTACTGGTGTCGGTGGGCCAAGTTGGGGTTGAAGATGCTCCCGAAACTTTCTTGCATTCAGCTGGCTCCCAGGGGCCAGTGGGGGAGGCTCACTGGAGTTTCTGAAGCTGTTGGGGTTTAGCCCGGCTTCCACAAGGTTGGGAGGGGTACAGGTTGTGGTCACCAAGGCTTCAGATACTGCCCAGGACCCAGCCTGGTTCCCACGCCATTAGGGGAGTGGTGAGGGCAGAGTCTCTGAGGCCACTGACTCTGCCCAGCATTCAGCTCGTCTCCCATGGGGGTGCATGTAGTGATGACAGTTACCACTGAGGCCTCAGAATGTGTCCGGGGCTCTGCCTGCCTCGCATGCTGATCAAGGAGGTGTGGGGACAGCTCACCAGGGTTCCTGAAGATGTCTGGGGCTCACCCTGGCTCCCACGGGGATGCTAGAGGTGCAAGGAGTGGCCACCAAGGCCCCAGAAGGTATCCAGGGCTTCACCTGCCTCACACACTGGTCAGGGAGGCAAGGGGGTGGCTCACCATGGTTCCTGAAGATGTCTAGGGTTCAGCCTGTCTCCCATGGGGATGTGGGATTGTAAGGAGTTGCCACCAAGGCCCCAGAATGTGTCTGGGGCTCTGCCTCCCTCCCACACTGGTTGGGGAGGAACAGGGGTAGATCACTGGAGTTCCTGAAGATGTTCAGGGTTCAGCCCATCTGCTGCAGGGATGCAAGGAGTGCAAGCAGGTTTTCTTTTTACTTTGTTGGTGACAAGGCAGAAGGCATCACAATTCCTGACCTGAACTTATACTACAAAGCTACTATAATAAAATAAGCATGGTACTGGCAATAAAACAGACCTGAGGATCAATGGAATAGATTAGAAGATGCAGACACAACTACAAACACACTCAGTCACCTTATCTTTGATAAAGGGCCCGAACATGTTGACTGGAAGAAAGATAGACTGTTTAATAAATGGTGCTGGAAGAAATGGCTCTCCACATGCCAAAGACTAAAACTAGACCAATGTCTACCACCATGCACTAAACTAAAGTCAAAATGGATCAAAGATCTAAATATTAAAACAGAAATATTAAATCTACTGGACGACAAAGTAGGTAAAAACCTTGAAGACATAGGGGTAAGCAGAGAATTCATGAACAAAAATCAAACTCCACAGGAACTACTTCAAAGAATCAACAACTGGGATTTCATCTTATTGAAAAGTTTCTGCACATCAAAAGAAATCACCAGTAGTGTGCCCCATTCTTGAAGCTGAGTCATAAAAGTCTCCTCAGGATGGACAGGTGAAGCACTTGGGCTCTCCTCATATCCTATCCCAAAGGATCATCACCCTTCCCCAAGGAGGTGGGTTTTGGGAGTTGAATTGCAGTCTTTTGCGGTCTTAGCTTATGGCACCCTCCCCTGCTGCAGGTGGGTCACTCTCCACACTCATAGGAGCCAACTCCTTACACATCATCCTCCCCCTTCTTCCTTGCCTCCCTCCCTACCTCTCTACATGAACATGATATATGGTGCTGGTTGTGTTTCTCTGCATACCCTAACTAATACAGAATCCTCCATTAATTTATTTAATATAGTTTTCTACCTTTTCTGAAGTTCTAAAGCTAGAAAATTCTCAAGTCACTTTGCCTGCTGATGTTGTCTATATGACATAGCACTTGACAATGGCAAAAAAGACCCAAGATCTGCAATTAGCAATGGGGAGGAGAAGGTATAGTAAAACTATTTTTTAATATCAAGTAGAAAACCTTGAATTTGAATCACTGGTGTGGGAAGTTGAAAGACAGACACAATACTTGAAAATTTTGTGGAGAAGTATTGTCACCATATCACATACATCAGCAGTTAAATGTATCCTACTACCATTGACATCCCTGTATCTCACTGACTTCCTGATCCAGTGCATGAAGACTGAGTCCTTGCTGCAGACTTTCTGACTGCGAACCCCTCACAGGCCTCAGTCCAAAGACCACCAACCTAGACGCTCTCACCAAGGCTACATAAGTTGACTCTGAATCCTTGCAGACAGATCCTTCTTCTGTGCTTCCCACCTGGCCTATATTCCTTCCTTCCACACTGGACTCCCAAGAGTAACAACTGTACCCATCATCTCTGCCCAGCAAAGTAGGAGAAGCATTCAAGACACTCTTTGCTGCCCACCTCTTTTGAAATTCATTATTGCTTTTTTATGTAAAAAGCAAGACTCTTCATATCCCTTGGCTTCCACTTCTTACTGTAATCATGCTACGGCCAACTGTGCACATTCACTGAGGATTCCACCCTTACCCCCTCTACAAATTCTGACATCACCAGAGAAAATTTATGTCTCAGCAGCCCCAAAGACACTGTGACCTCACAATATTTTTATTTCTTTTGCAAGAGAGACCAGTCCTTTCTCCTAGTGCCCAGAATGATGACTACTCTTGGATTTTTATCATCTATAATGTCCACTGTCAAAAATTTTCCATTTCTCAAATTCAACATCAATTTATAACTAGAAGCTCCTGTGATACCACCTCACAGTGCTTCACTTCAAGCCAGCAATAACATGACTAAGTGCAGTCCCTTGTATTCTCTATTTATTCCTCATCAATTGGTCCTTTCAGGCTAACCACATCTCTAAGCAGCTAGACTTCATGACCTGAGTTATTCTCTCAGCACACTACTGACTCCTTTGACCTTTTGAACTTTGTCACATGTACTAGACAGCATCCCACTATGGGGTCAGTCCCGTAATCTGTGCTCAGGAATCCCATAGTTGTGCCACTGAGAAAAAAATAATCACATAATTGCATATTTTGTTGCTGTTGGAAATTTATGGGTTCAACCTTAGCACTGCTTAGCAACACTTTTCTTAGTCACTGTCTGTTCTAATCAATCTCTTGGTGATGACTCTAAACCTCAATGGCTTTCTTCAATCTTCCTGTTCAACTCCTACCCCTTTTTGCTCCTGCTGAATACATCTATTACCTACCTGCTAATCCAATTCACTGAAGCTATGTAACTCATGACCTTCTCAAATAATTGCATTACTACTTTTAAAATCTATTAAAGCAAGGAATCCATGAATTATTCTAAACCACTTCTTCCCAGTAGAACATTCTACAGTAATACAAATGTCCTGTAGCTACATTGTCTTATATGGAAGCCATTAATAACATATGATTAACAAGCACTGGAAATGTGGTTAATGCAGGTGAGAAACTGAATTTGTCATTTAATGTAAGTTAACTTATATGTAAATTTAAATAGTCACATGTAGTACCATACTGAACAGCATAATTTTCAGCCTCTCCTTAAATTACTGTCATAAGTCACATATAAGTCTACCAATTTGCAAAGCACCTGTGGTTCTGTGCTGTCCATCTCAATGCCAGCCACTCTGGTTGATTATGCCATTCACTCATTAAAATTCTTCAATGACTCCAAACATTTTTATTATAAAGTTCATACTTCTTTGCTGAAATAAAACATTTCATGTTCTCACTGGTTCCTACCAAACTTCTATAGCTTCATTTTACCTCATTATTCCCTGACATATAAATTTTATATTCTTGAAATATTTAAATTCATATATAGATATCCCATGCAATTTTATATTGGGATCATCTATTTCCCTTTTCTATCTTCCTCATTTTGGTAATTCTCAATTCAGATATCACCTCTTACAATGAACATTTCCTCAAACCCCATATATTCTATATGGATCTCAATATTAGCACTGAACACAATAAATCAAGTATCAAGTGAAGGAGTGTATCAATTCCTCACTATTCAGTATCAATAGTACCCACAGTAGTGATTAGCATACTTCAAGGACTCAATGTATATTTGCTACAGTTGGTAGAAAGTAGCAAAGTACATCACAGGATGAGACAACTTCTAACATTCACTCTCTTCAACCTACTTCTCATTTTGAATTGAGAATCTTTTTTGTGGATGTCTTATACACTGAGTAACTTCTTTGAAGATAATGATACACAGTGTATTAATTATTGTTATTTTATTATTATTTGGTTGTGAAATTTTATGTAACAAAAAGATTGATTAAGCAGAAGTAGAGGGGATGGCATCTTAGTTTCTGCTACCAGGGAGAAGTAAGAAGTTACTTTAAAAAGCATCTTGCTAGTCAATGCTCCCTCCTACTCTTAACTTCTAGTCTTAACATATCTGCTTAGGCAATCAAACAAGTATCTAATATCAGTTTTTAAATACTTACAGGTTTCTTCACAACTTGAAACATTCGGACGATGAAATATGCAAGTATCTGGTAGTTCTTCAGACAGATACGGAACTGTCTCAATTCCAAAGGCTCCTCTGGAGAAACAGGCCAGTAATTGTGGCATTTGATAATTCCATCTTCTATATCTCTGGTTACCATGGCAATAACATTAGAATTATGTTCAAAAACCATTTGCCAAAAGTCATCTATGGTGTCTGGCAGTGGTCCTTGGGTAGCAATATAAAAATACTCTTCTTCTTGATTGATTATTCTAATATAACTGGCATTAATGTAGTCCTGGCTTTTTCCAAGAGGAACACGTGTTGACTCATCTATTATAGAAACAAAAACACTTGATAGATAAAGGAACAGTGAAAGATGCAGTACACCCCAGACCTCACACAGATAAATACATATATCTCTTTAACCAATACAGAATATGGCATAGGAAATTCTTCTCAGAAGGGTTGAGTCCATGAGTTTTAATCCTTTCCTCCAACGAAGTTTATTGGTATGACCTAAGAGATACACAATTAAAGAATGCCTTCAGCATTCAGGCAACTTTGAGAGTTTTCTGTTAGATATGGTACAGGAAGGGTTACACCAAGGAAGGTATGTACTTGGAAGGTGTATACTAGTTTGTAAAAGGAGAGAGCAAAGGAGAAAACTCTGAGGCACTAAGTGAATGTCATTTTCCTATAAATCTGGGAAGCCTGCAAATATACAGCAGCAGGGACCATCAACTTCAATCACTGCTACAGACGAACCTTGGGTTAGTGGACTTCTACCAGTCCCTCTACACAAGGTGGCCCTCACCTGGTAAAATAGCACGCTAATCAAAGCAAACATGGTGGCAAAAGGTGGCTCTCAAGAGCATTTGCTTCATGAACCACAGGATTTGTCTAACATGGATTGTTTTAGCAAATACAAGAGGGACAACCTAGCTGATTGGCCTGCTAATTAACTTCACTGACCCAGGAGCATTTTCCTCACTTGATGTAACCATCTGGAGCTCTACTGCCAGCACTGATCCCATAGAGAGAAGTGACCAGAGCGAGGAAGTCCCTACCTGTCACATAGTGTTCTCACCAACTACCTCTCTTAATGCTCAGGACCACATGGCCACTTCATGTACGAAATATGCTGTGCAATAAACAGGGTAACATGATTTTTGACAGAACCCTTCTCAAATTCCAACACAGCATATAGTAATCCTTGTCTTGTAGATGAATAGGAATGATGATGAATAGGAAAAACAACTGCTATACATAAAGATACCCAACATTCCAAAAAAGATCATTCTGAAAATTCACAACAAATAACTATCTGTAAGAGGAAGAATGCCTTAAAAACTTCTTGTATTTTAAATGAAACACAAGAGAGCATTATTTATTATATATTATGTAAAATAATATTATATATTATGTAAAATAATATATATCTATATTTATTGATATATGTTATATTATTAAATTATAAAGGAGGTGACAATAGCATTATGAAATCTCTGTGTGTGTGTGTGTGTGTGTGTGTGTGTGTGTAGGAGATACCATCTAATAAGCCTGACAAGTATCCACCAAATATTAGCAGAAGTTATTTTATTATTTAAATAGTATGAATTACTTTCTAGTAGAAAAGCATTTTTAATTTTAAAAAGGAAGACAATGAAAATTAGGCAGTCTAAATTAACAAAAGCTTGCTTTCAGATAAAAAAAAAGTTACCAAATTCATATTCCTGAAGTAGGAAGGGAACCTAAAAACAAATTAGGGATTTAAAAAAACTGGCTTAAAAATTTTTCTTAGGACTCAAAAAAATAACAAAAACTTCAATAATGATTAAAATGCTAAAGAACAGAGAGCCTATAGGGACAATATAGCAAATGAATTTCAGCAAACTGTAGGAGACACAATGCAAAATAATCACAGAAAAGCCTGTCAAGTAACATAGCAGGTAACTGAATGCAGTGTAGATATGCATACCAGGTCCAAGTAGTAAGGTGCTCTCTATGCATCTCCTCATAAATGGCAATGCTTTGGGAGAAACTTTCAAATAAGGAACCTGCTAGGATCTGGATCTGGAATGTCTCTCAAAACCTCATGCACTGAGGGCTTCATTTCCAACACAGCAATGTTCACAGAAGCACTTTGGGAAAGCTCTAATCTCATTGATGTATTAATAATCTGATACCATTACTGAAGGGAGATGGAAACTTAAAAGTTGAAAGGACAAAGTCATGGAGGTGTTGTCTTGGACACTACAACTTGTCATCTTCAGCCCCTCCCCCCACCTCTCCCTCTCCATTCCTGGTTTTCATGAGGTGAGCAACTTTCCTCCTCCAAACCCTTCCACCATGATGTTCTGCTTATCACAGGCTCAGAATCAACAGGGTGAAGTAATCATGAACTGAAACTTCTGCAATTGTGAGCTAAATAAATCCTTCCTTCTTTAAGTTGACCTAATCAGGTATTTTATCACAGCAACAAAAGTTGACTATCACAGAACCTGTTCTGAATTATTTGCTCCACATGATGTAGGAATTCTGGACTTCACAGTCCCAAAACAATCTCCTATTTGCTGACTCTAAAGAACAACTGTAATTTGCAAAAGAAAGGACTCACCAAGTGTCATGCAACATTAAGAGTCACTAAGACAGACAGGATAATGTACGTTCACAGAGACAGAAAGCAGAACTTGTGCTAGTGGATCACTAGGGGGTAATGGTGAATAGTACTGCTTCTGCACCACCTCCTGATTTCTGAATCCTGGATTTAGCTGGAAGAGCATCATCTATTGGGTGCTCATTTGGGGCATATACAGTCCTCCTGGATAATACTGTCTCAGCACAGCAAAACACTGCTACCTAGCTGGTACTGTAGTTGGGTCTTTAAAAGGCCGTGCACTCAATCTGTCAAGACAGCTGCTTCAGGATGGTAGGGAATACGATGAGGTCAATGTATTTCATGAGCATGAGGTCCACTGCTATGAACAATGTGCCACAAAGCAATGTGGAATAGAATATTAGGATGGTGGATAAGGTAATCTGTAGGTTCACAAATGGCAAGTGTGGTAGAAACACTGTGCAGAGTATGCAAGTCAGTACCCAAAATAACTTAGTAAGAAATAAAGCCCTGCTCTTTTCATGATAGAAGCAGCCCAAAGTAATTACCCTGCCACTAGGAAATCAGCTGATCACCTGGGGAATGATGCCACACTAGGGACTCAGTTTTGGTCTCTGTACCCAACAGAATGGGAACTTACCTATGCTGTAGCTACACACTGGCCTTGGTGAGTTACAGTCAGTGTTACTGAGTCCATACTTAACCTTCATTCCTACCAACAAGGCTGCTTTGTTCACAAGTCCCTTTGGTGATGACACAGTCATCAAGGAAACAGCACTGATATCCATAGAGGAAGTCATCCTATCTACTTCATTATTAAATTTCTCATCTGCTGAGGTCACAGTCTGGTTAGCATTCACATGAGACAAAGTATCTTTGTTTCTGGCTGATTCCTGGAGGTCTACCCATAATATCTTTTCCCTTGCTTTTCTTGTCACCAATATTCTAACCATGTTCCTTCCAATCATGGTCATCCATCTGAGGCACTGGCCACACCATATTAATATGTGCATACTTGTACTTCTGGCCATTTCACCAAATATAACCAAGTACAATGGTCAAAGTTCTGCCACTGAGAGTAGTTCCCTTCCCTGCTGTTCTTCAGAGATGTCTCACACTAGCTGGTGCACTGCAGCTGTCTACTACTGGGTGGTGTGTGAATGTAACACATAACCACTTGAAAACCAGGACCAAGTCTTCCCTTCCTTATTGAATGATCACAGGGAACTCCCCATGCAGCTATAGTTGCAGGCTGGGAGAGACAGGGCAGTGTAGCTGGGGTAGGATTAGAGGCATTTCAGCAGCTTCTTCATGTAACTTACTTGTGCCTTCAGGAACTACTCAAGCTTAATCTCACATCTGCCATCTTCATTTGACACTGACGTGCTGCTGTGTGTACACAATTTTATGAGTCCCTGGCACATAGTTTAGCAATCTATACTTAGTTTTCTGTAAATGGTCCCTATTAATTCCCAGTAGTGGGTCAAAGGTGTTTCTCAGAAGTAGAGGAGTTACCCCCAGAGGATGGCAAGGTTTTGCTTCAAAATCACAAGGGTCTGTGCTACAACTCACCTATAAGAATCTGACAAAGGCTCTAACCAGCATCTACCTGCCATTCCCACTCCCAGCACTACTGGATCTGCGGGATCACATGGCCCAAGGGGCAGAGACTTGCACAACAGCCTAGATGTGTTGTCGAATTTCTCTTGTTTTGGTTCCCATTCAAACCTAGCAGTTTTTGAGTCACTTGGTAAATGGGCCAGAAAAACATATCAATATGTTGCTACCACTAGCCAAAGCACCTACAGGGCTTTGTGCCTCTTTCCTGGCTATAGAAGCCAAATAAAACAATTTATCTTTCATCTTTGATGCAATTATCTTAACATGTCCTGTACACATGAACTCTTAAAAATTCGACAGAGATAGGAAGTCCTTGAAATTTAGCTGAATTTATTTCCCATCCTGACATCCAAATACGCTATGAGTAAGTCTAGAGTATTTGCTATGCCTTGTTTAGCATGATGTCATCGGTGTAATAGACCAATGTGATGTCTGTGGAAGGAAAATGTGTTGGAGTCCTCGTGATCTAAATTATGACATAGTTCTGGACAGCTGATATTGCCCTGATGTAGGAGAGCAAAAGTGAATTACCGGCTTTCCCAGCCGAAAAAAAAAACTGATTCTAGTGGTCTTTACTAGTAGTTATAGAGGGAAAGTCACTTGCTAGATCATCAACCACATGCCAGGTAAGAAAGGATATGTTAATTTCCTAATGTGATGAGACCACATCAGGCACAGCAGCTGCAACTAGAGTCACCATCTGTGTAAGTTTACCATAACCCCGGCATTCTCTGGGATCCATGTTTTTCTTTCTGGGCCATAGACAATCTGATTTGGGATGCAGTAGGAATCACCACCACTTCTTCCTTCAAGTCTTTGGTTGTGGCACTAATATCTGCAGTCTCTGCTAGAATGTGATATTGGTTTGATTTACTATTTTCCTAGGCAAAAGTAGTTCTAGTGCCTTCCACCTGGGCCTTTCCCACTGTAATATCCTCACTCCATAGGTTAGGGGCTCAATATCAGGATTCCAGTTGCTGAGTATGTATATCCCAATTATGCATTCTAGAACTGGAGGAACAATCAAAAGACAGTCTCAGCGACCTATTGGATCCACTGGGAGATGAACTGAAACTTAATTGAACATCTGACCTCCGTAAAACCATACTTTGACTGAGGGACCACACCAACATTTTGGGCTTCCTGGATTACTGTCAATTCAGTGGGCTCTAAAAGGACAGACTATTTCCTTTATTCCAGCTCACAGTCACTCTGGTAAAAGGGTGTAGGTCTCTTAGGGGAAGACTGAGAGAAAGAATAGCAGCATAAACTTTTGGCAGTGCATTAGCATCCTTCCTCAGAGGCCTGATCTCTCATTCATTCAGGGAGTACTGGGTCTGTAAACTGGCTCAAATCTGGGAAATAATTGAGGATCTGTGATTCTATTTTTAAAGGACAGACTTTTGTTCACTAGAGCTAGAACTTTTCTGCTTATACAGAGCAAATAAGAATTTAGTAGACTTCTCATCCAATCAGCTTCTAGGAATACCAGGAGCAACCAGCTAACACCACAGGTCTCCACAGGTTAGCTTATGCTGACTGTTGCTTTGAGTCCACTGTCTGTTTCAGTAACTGCAACCACCTTGCCTATGGCTATGGGATGCTTGCCACTGAGACACTGCCTTCCTGGGATTCTGTTACTCTCACTGTTCTTAGGTTTCTCAATTCAGTGGCAGCAATTTCCACTGTAATTTTTGATCTGCCAACAAGGGTAACACACAGTTCTTCAAGGATGCTGGGACTTACAATGCATTTCTTAGTCATGAAAGAGTGATGTCCTCTGGATCCTCCTGGAGTAGGTGAGCTGGCCTTTCATGATAAACCTATGGTAATATTTCAGTATTTCCCTTCTTCCATAATACATTAGGGCAGTTCTGGTAGATTGTCTTCATTTAGAGGAGGCTACATTTTGGGCCATGTTTTAGCCAGGTAACCAATAACCTATTACAGCCGTTTCTAACCCCTTAAGCTACACCATTAAATCCATAATGTTTTCTTAGTGGAACCAGATCAATAAATTTAGCCTGACCCAACATTATGTTCCTTCTACTACTATCTCATATCCTTAACATTCCATTCCCACAAATGTCCCCCACATTCTGGTCTGTATAAATTAGAATATGCATGTAGTTCCTTTGAAGTGTGGCATGTCTCCTTATGAGCTATACTTTGTACCTTACCTTTCAGGGCCCAAAGGGATTTGGATCTAATTACAATTTTATAAGCAATGAGGGAAGACATGGTGGCTGTGAGTCCTAAGGAGAGTCAGCATTGTCCAGCAAGGCAACAACTCCAGGGAAGCTGTCATACTCAACGTTTGCCAGGAAATAGATTTAATACAGGACACATAATTTATAGGGTTATTTTATAATATTCACCCAAAAAGTCAAATGCAGAAGAATACAGGAGATCTGTCCAAGCACTAGAGGCTCAAAAAACTCAGCTGAGGGCCTGGATCCCACAGCAATGTCCAGCATGAGTCCAGATGAAGACTTAGAACCTGGGCAATGTTCTCCACAAGTCCAGTTGGAGGACTAGAGCTCATGGCAATGTTTCATGCAAGTCTATATCCTGTACTGGAAAGGCCCACAGGTCAGTGGTAGAAGTTAGAAAGTCTATGCCAGTGGGGTGAAGGATCTGAGGGATCTGCACTGGAGCCAGGAAGCAATGCTCAAGGTAAGGACCACAGCTCCTCCAAAAAGAACTGCAGCCATCCTCAGTGGCAGTGAGGACCCAAGCTCCTCCGATGATGATGATGACTCCTCTGATGAGGACCCAAGCTCCTCCGAGTTCCTATCAGGAACGCCAGCATGACAAGCTTTTCCAGGAGATCAATAGCATACCTAATCTTCCCCTCCAGTTCTGTTTTATTTTGTTGGCAACAATCCTCAGGTGTGCCTTCCACACCCAGAACCACAGAATCTACCACAGAAGCCAACAGAAGTTTCTTTAGGAAAAGTAATCTGCTAGAGATGGAGTGGTAGCTTCTGTTGGTAAAGTAGACTCATCAGAGTCAAAGGGTTCCCTCTTCACCAGACTCTTCTCAGATCTCTGCTCCAGCTTTTAGGGTCCCATTCCTTCCCCAGTAATACCCACATTTTAACAGTAGACTTCTGCAAGGTTGGAACACTTATCTGTTCGCAATTCAGCCATTTTCAAGATGAGACTATGGGTTTGGTTTTCAGCAGTCTCAGCTTTGTGGTTATAGGCCATAAAGGTTTCTCTTACAGCAGAAAAGAGAAATTTTCAGGTAATTTATGCAATGCTTGAGCTGGAAATAAAATCCCTGACATTATCCTTTCCCTAATTTGCCCAGCACAGTGAGGATGACCAGCCAATTTCATTGTGTTCATTAGTTTGATCCCCCAAAAAATGTTCTAAGGGAACTAACACTGTCACCCAGAACCTGACCATATTTTACGTTATCTCTATTTCCACATTGCATTAACTGGAAAGTTAATACATACCTTCAAATCTTACCAGAGAACCAATTCATAAAACTGATTATGTTCTCCTAGAGCCATTCTCAGGACTAAAATAGGTATTATAAATTGTTATCCAGAAATATTGAATCAAAAGGCTAAGTCTACACACTATGAAGGATTTATTTTAAGGAACTGGATCATGTGATCGAGGATAGGGGTTAGTCTGAAATCTGCAGGGCAGGACAGGCTCACCTGTACCTTCAGTCACACCATCCAGTTCCTTAAAATAAATCCCTCATGGTATACAGCCATGATATTTATGCTTTGGAGCCAGGCTACCGTGGACTAAACCCTTTGAAACTGTAAGCCAACTACACCTCTCCTTATTGAAGTTGTGGGAGCCAGGTATTTTTTCCAGAAATGATAAAGTAAATCACTATAATACCTAATTACAATTTTATAGATGAGCTTCAATGAGCTTCTTATAATCCTGAAAGGATCATTTAAAAGGTCCATTTACTTCTAGTCTCCCCAAAGGTTAACTGCACTTATACAGATAGAAATTATGTAAGAACTTTGATCTCTTACTACACAGTATGTCCCATAGCACTTTACTAACCCTGATTTCAAAAGTCAATACATTTATCCACACTCTCCTATGGAAATGAGCACAGTAAGTTATTTTAACCATGCTCAGTGTAATATTCATTGCTTTTATAATCATCAAGTTATTTCAATCTGAATAACCCAACCAAACATGGAGATATTAATCCAATAATGATAGTCACTGTCCCAGCAGGAGAAACAACAAAGAAAATAACTGAAATACAGTTTGCCTAGTTGTAAAGGGTGGTCCCAAGATGCTGGGAGACTATAGAAGAAATATTAAATCTAGGTTTCAAGATAATTTAAAAGGCCAAGCTGAGCTACCAATGAAAAATGGCAAGAATTACTACAGCAAAGAAGGGAGTATGGATAGTGCTTGCATAAATGACAGGTTCAGAGGCACGGAGGCAAGAAAAAATGGTGTTGAACTCCAGAAACCAGAAGAAGTAGTGGTGGAGATTTGAGGTTAGAACAGTGACAGAGAGCCAGAGAAGAGATTTACAAGGAGAACAGTGGGCTCTGATTTGCTTTTTTGGAAAATCATTCCAGTTGCTGCTGTAAATGGATGGGTTAGGAAGACAGTGAAGAAGGCAGAAACCAGGCAAGAGATGCAATGGGCTTGGTCTAGGTTGGAGGCAATGGGAATAGAGAAATGAAGTAGAATTCCAGAGGTTAGTAAAGGGAACCGAAGGAATCTGCAAACACTTTTTGGGTATTTCAAGTCACTTAAAGTTTTCTGGCTTCATCAAGTTGATGCTAGAATAAAGTATAGAATATACTGGGGTAAGATCAGGTTAAATTAAGAAAAATAATAAACTTAGTTTGGAAAAATTTTTACTGTGGAAGCAATGTAATCACAAGATAAGATTTCCTGCCTAAGACTGAAATTCCATTTTTGTTTCTGCTCTTTGAATCGCTGAGATGGATGTGCATTTCCTGAGGGGAACTGGATGGACTAGGGTGCATAGGGCATGTCAATAGCCTCCACCCAATACATGAAGCAATTGCCTTTGAAGACAATCAAAAGGCAGCCCCTTATTGGGGGGGACAGATAGATGGCTTTCTTGTCCAGGACAAAGAACAAAGTTCATTGCATTTGTGTGACTAAACAAAATTGCTAGGAAAGGTAATCAAAAGAAGGACAACAAATGTGGCAGATACTCAGACTACTGAACTTTGTTTTGAATGGTTCATGGTCTGAGGAGGAGCGATGCACGACAGCAAGGTTGAAGTACTGCTGTAAATAACTTTGTGACAGTGGCTGGGAAAAGTATCAGGACTAGAGGACTGGACCCTTACTATTTTCTACACCTACCCTACAAGGCCTAGACCACCCACTGTGAGCCACCAGTGCCATGGTCACAGGTCAGAATGTCTCATCAGAAAGCCAAGCAATCCCTTTTTTACTTTTTCCCAAATATAAATAGGAAACTAATCAAAACCATTTTTAGCTTACATGGAATGATATCTCGGTATCTGTTTTTCTGTCTGTTCCACGGTTCATTCCCATATGTGCACTCACTACAACGACTCTTCTTACGTTCTAAATCCTTTAAAAGGTTAAAAAAAAATAGGGCATGTAGTTACTATAACCAAAAGAAAAAAGAGACTTAACTTTGTTTAGTGCTTGTGATCCTTAGGCCCTATATGCCATTTAATGTTATATAATAAAGAGAAGTTAAAACCTCATTTTAAAAGCACTATATAAAATTGGAGATGCCAATCAGTGAGATGTTTGATAAGAAAATGGCAAACTTTCTGAAGATACTTTCCCACTAAATTCCATTATCGTTTGTTGTTCATAGAATAAGGAAATATAGAATAGTCATTTCTTAGGATCTAACTATAACATTTCATAAACAAAAATAACAAAGTAACTAACAAAAGCATGTACACAAAAAATTATAAAGTCTTACAATTTACTCCTTGAAGAAACTACAGCTAGGACACCAATTAAGGAATTTTCTTTTTGAAAAGATTTTTTCACCAAGTGTGAATTCAACAGACATTTACTAAGCATTTAGTCTATACATGGCTCTAGTCTACAAACTAAATAGAAAGATAAACCAGGAAATGGCCTCATCCTTAAGTAGTGAGTAGTTAGACAGTATATGATCATGTAACATATGACCTACAGACAGTCCTTGTATTAATGACAGCACCAGACTGTACCTGAAGGTAGATGCAGAAAAGCTCCTGAAAGGAAGCAGCACTTGAACTGGGTCTTAGTGAGTCACTGGAAGTTAGCCGTGTGGAAAGAAGTATGTGTGAAAGGAAAGAAGAATGGTGAGTAATGGGGTATTACTCCAGGTAGGAGCCAAGGAGGCACACATGTGCTCTTGGGAAAGCATTGGGTACCATGGAAATAAGAGCACAGAGTACACAGTCTAGTGCAGAGGTAGACTAAAGTAGGAAAGACCTTGTTTCATACATGGTCATGCCTCCATAACCACACAGAACTGGTTCCAGGATCCCTGTGCATGCCAAAATCTGTGGCTATTCAAGTCCCTCATACAAAATAGTGTAGAATTTGCATATCTCATATACTTTAAAACACCTCTTGGTTACTTGTAATGCCTAACACAGTATCAATGATATGTAAATAGTTGTTATACTTTATTGTTTAGGGAATAATGACAGGAAACATGTTTGTACATGTTTAGTATAGACACAAAGTTTTCTATTTTTGATCTTCAGATGTTTAAATCTGTGAATAAGGAGCCCACGGATATAGAAGGCCAATGACACAAACACAAGAGGGAGATACCAAGTCCAGCTCTACTAGAATGTCTGTGGGCAAAGCTCGGGAATCTGGGTGTTGTTAAAGTTCTTTGGTAAATTCTGGGCAGCTAACTTCGCTCCCTGGGTGTTTAAAGAAGTGCTGACAACCACTGCTATGGGGAAGGAGTTTGTGAAGGTTGTAAGCAGTAGGACAATGCCATCCAATCTGTAGTGTTTTACTCATTCTAAAAATCAATTCTAAAATTAACCCATAAAAATATGAAGAACCAGAAAAATTTTATAAATGAAGAATAATGAAGAAGTCTTAATACATGGCAAGAGTTACACTAACTAGAAGGTTATAATCTATACATAAATCAGAAAATCAACAAAGCCTAAGAATAAATTAAAATATATTTGGGGTTTTAGTACATGCTACAAGTAGCATCATCTTTCACTAAACAGAAGATTCAGGAGAGTCCTAGGACAACTAGATAGATAAATAATGCTGGTCTCTATCAAATAGCTTATTAAGGTAAATTCTAACTGAACCAACGATTCAGAGGATTAAAAAATAATAAAAGTATTAGGAAAAAAGACCATGAAATAGTATGATCAAAAAAATGAAAATCTAGAAACCATATAACTGCCATATTTGATTGCTAAAAATTATGTATTTCTTCAGAGCAAATAGGTATATTTATATGTGTGCACATATGTGTATAACACACTGGAAAAACTTACTATATATTATACACACAAGGATAATTGCTTTCTTATAAAGCATTATTAATCCATACAAAAAAGAATAAACAGAAAGCTGGCAAAAGATTGAAGCTAGAAACTTAATGAAAATAAGTATAAAATGCTTAAAAACAAAGATATTCCTTTGCTATCAAAGAAATAACATTTAGATTGCCAGCAAGAAATCATTTGTCTTTCAAGAGATGAGATAAGATTCCAAAACTTGAAAGACAAAACACTGACTGTCTTTTTAGACATTTGTTCTAAAAGAGCCAGCCACACACAGGTACATGAAGAGAAACAACTGTTCTTCACAAGAGTAAAGACTGAAGTTATCTAAATATCTAACATATGTAACTATATAAATAAAATAGGATATTTACCTGTGTAAGTAACTATCATGCTGGTAAAATGTTTGGAAATCATTATCGGTTTCTTTTCTTTGAGACAGGGTCTTGCTCTGTAGTTCTGGCTGCCTTTGAACTCACTACATAGCCTAAACTGGCCTTGAACTCATGGTAATCCTCCTGCCTCAGCCTCCCAAGTGCTAGGATTACAGGTGTGTACCACCATGCACAGGTTAGAAATTATATCTTATGGAAAAAAATTTAAAGAGTCGAATCCAACAATTTTTTTGGAAGTTTATATTACAAACTCAATCATGGAAAGGGATCTAGATAGTGGAGAAACAGACTTTCTATATACTTTATGCTACTGAATTTTTTATCACGTAAATCTATTACCTTAAAAAACACAGAGTATTTAAAAATAAAAGCAATGTGCTTAATCAAAATGAAGAAGAAAAAAAGCAAATAAGACTTCTGGTTATGATACAGAAAAATAAATCATATACACACTGTTAGGAGGAATATATTTACCCCAAACTCCTGGGTGATATCAAATACTCCTTTTCTCTCAAGAATTTTCAAATAATCCTTGAAGGCTGATTGCTTGTCAAAACTGAATGTTCTTGGTCGAATCTGAGTCAATTGAGCTAGCTCTTCTTCAGAAACAATTTTCTGTATACCTAAGAAAAAGAAAAATTCACATTTATAAATTCCCTGTATGAATGTGAGGGGAGACTTTGTGGTGAATTTTTTTCTCATTAAAGGTACAGTTGTTTAGCTATTTAAGGGTCAATGAAAGTTTTTCCAAAGGTAAAGAGTTTGTCACTCCAAAAGAGACTACCTTCTTTTTTTAAAAAAAAAAAAAAAAGGATATACCGTATTATGATTGAGTATGGAAATCACCTTTCCATTAAACGGCACTTAGCAGCAGTGCTCACCATGTTTTTGACCATTCTTCATAAAGACATGAAAGAGGACTTCCAGGAGCAGAGAGGAACATTTTGAGGGCATTTAGAGAAATCCTATAGTTAACATCATATTTCATGATAAAAAAACTAAAATGGAGACTCTGTCAAGGATGTCTACTTTCTTCCCTGTTATTCAACACTGTACCAAAGATCTTAACTAGTGCAACAAGTCAAGAAAAAGATATAAAAAGAAAACATATTGGAAGATTTTTTAAAAAACTATTCACTGGCAACATGTGTATTTACATTGGATAATTAAATATATATGTACACAAATATAAAAGAAAAGAAGTCCTAGAATTAATGAGTCCAGGAAGGTTGCTGAAAAATACAAGGGGAATACATAAAACTCAATCATACTTAACACTAGCAACAAACAATGGAAGTTAAAATATGTTTACAAGCCCAATTTTAAATGCTTCAAAACATAAAATACTTAGCTACAAATCTAACAAGATATGTATGTTTACACTACAAAACAACCAAACATTAAGGAAAGGAGACCTAAGCTGGATGAAAAATGCTTCTACCAGGGGAAATGGCTCCACTGAACTGGACATTGAAAATTCCCTAACTTTAGTTCTAAACTGAAACTGAAAATGAAGATATTGAGAAAAAAAAAGTAGCTCCTGTCCTCCTTCCCTGGGAACTGACCTGGATCTAACAGACAAGTTATGGTATTCTCTGCTGAAAATAAACTGATTTCCCACAGTGTCAATAACATTGGTCACTTGAAGACCATACTAAACAAATCAATAATAAAACCATCTAGTCATTGTCAGGCAGAAAGACATTAGCAGGCCTGGAGGAAGGTTACCAGGGGATACATGAAAAGGAAAAAAGAGAACTTGTTTTTGTCTTTAGTAATAGTAATTTATGCTTGGCTGAACAATGGTAGCAAGTTCTCTAAGTAAGTGTGGAAAAGCTCCTACCCAGAAATTCTAATAACACTTGGTTTTGACCTCCTGTGACTTCCATGTGAGGTTCCTTCACAGCCTTTAACCACTGGAATTTTCTACCTGTTAGGTTCCTCTTTCAAAAGCACCTATTTGGAAATATTGCCTTTCATATTGAAGCCATGATTATCTCTGTTGTTGAGTTTGTTGTTGCTGTTCAAGAAGTGTTGCCATTTTACAGCTGTACTAACCCCCTGGTGTGTCAATGACATGAGTGAGCACTGGACAGCACTGGGGCGGGAGTGGGGCTCACCAACAGAGCTGGCCCAACGTCAGAGCCCAGGTGTGGAGTTGGTAAGCACAGTTAGGAAAGTACTGTATCTAGCCTCCATTCTGGATGATTTTAAGAAATTTTGTATACTGGCTGGGCGCGCTGGCGCACGCCTGTAATCCCAGCATTCGGGAGGCTGAGGCAGGAGGATCATTGTGAGTTGGAGACCAGCCTGAGCTACAAAGTGAGCTCAAGGACAGACTGAACCACATAGCAAGACCCTATCTCAAAAAAAAAAAAAAAAAAGAAAGAAATTTTGTATATGGAGGATGGAAATGCTTATATATTTATTGAAAATCCTTTTATGTTATTTGAAAATTATTTGATAAATAATTGCTATTTGGGGAGGGTTTTGGAGGGGAGGTAATGCTGTTGATAAATTATAAGCCTGTCAAGTGTGCAGAAAGGTAGTTAATAACTAATAGGATGCCTTTGTTTTGTACATGATCCTAATCTTTGTTTTATATTTCTTTTATCCAAAATATTTAGACATCTGACATTTTTAATCAAAATTTCAATTATATACTGTGATTTTTATTTGTTGCATTACACTAAAATTTCAGAGGTACTCTGGCATTCAAAAGCTAGGATTTCTAAATCAGTACAGTATGTGCATTTCACATAATAAAGCTGTTAATGGCAAGCAAAGTATTATATACTAACTAGATTTTTCCACATCTGTATAGTATACTATATATATTTTGTGGTATTGAGATTATAGAAAGTTTAGAGTGTCAAACGTGTTTAATGTGTATTTTTAAACAAATTTATGGCAATTAAAATATTTGGAGACAAGGGTATCACATTTCAATTTGTAAAAGTCTTTTTAACTCTACTGTGTCATTAAGATGCTTTGTATAATGCCAAACTATAGCTAGAGAAACTAAATTTAATAAATATCAAATCGATTTTCCATTAAAAAAAGGAAAAAAGATATCATTTTCCCCCTTTTCCCTTTGTTTTTTTAACCGTTAGATATAGATAAAATTCAAACAAGCTATGGTTTCAAATGTTAGCCCAGGAGAATGTAACTTCTTCTGAGCACAGTAATAATACAGACCAGGTGTCTTGGTTACTTTTCTCTCGTTGCTGGAACAAAATACCTGATGCCCAAAATTAAGGAAGGAAAGGTTTATTTCGCTTCCAGTTTGTGGAGCTTTCAGTCCATACTTGACAGGTTACAAGGCAGAGTGGCACATGGCAGAGGGCTACAGCTCATGGCAGCAGAACACAAACACAAAAGGGAGGAATGGCGGCAAGCAGCCTCTTCCTGTCCCTTACATATGCAAACTATCTACCCCAGGGCAGGTGTAGCTCTCACACCCATAATCAATCAAACTGTAAAAAGCCTGCCCCATGACCGCATGAGGCTTTGGGGGGACACCCTGACACAAACCATAACACCAGGCCACATGGGAGCCTGGAAAACCCCTGTAGGTCTAAAGGCTAAACAGAAGTATTCCACCTGGGAAATAAACAGGAGCCTCCTTCCCTCTAAAGTTAGTCAAAACAGCCCACTTTCAGGGCTGGGGATTTAGCTCAGCGGCAAAAGCGCCTGCCTGGCAAGCACAAGGTCGTGAGTTCGGTTCCCGGTACCGGAGAAAAAACAAAAAAAAACAAAAACAAAACAGCCCACTTTCCTTTTCAAAGAACAATAACCTCAGAGGAGGGAAACAATATTCCTTAAAAGAATCATTTAATGACAAATATAACATGGGACTTAATTTGGCATAATTGCCATCTTAACACTTGCCCACCTTAATCTCTCTTACTGTGAAAAACTATCATATTGCAATAAACTCTGCTTATATCTGTAGAACTACTTATGTGTCTTGTCTGAATTCTTCTATGGAGGACCTAAAACAGGAGAGTCACCAGTTCTTCCCAGAGTTAGGGCTCAGTTTCCTAGTGACAGTAATCATGGCTGATCACTAGCAGAACTAAGGAGAACAGTTCCAGATGTACTGACTGACCTGCTGCTTCTATGGCTTGGAACACCACCCCTTTTCCTTCAAACCTTCTCAACACCACGCTTGTCTAGACACTAATCAGAGATTAGAGATTTCCTGCTGTTGCTATAGCGGCAACAATCTAAATAAAACTTCCTTATTTCCAACTCAATCTAGGAGTATATTCTTAAAGACTCAGTTCCACAGATGTTTGGCACGGCACCTACATGCCCAACAAGATTCTGACTATATAGTGCAGTCAGACAATGAAATAGTATCTAGATTTTCAAAATTATACTGTGGTTTTATATTTGTTTAAAAGACATTCTTATATAGGAGTGTGTTCTTCTTTTTAAAGTACATTTACATTCAAAATTCCACTTCTGCCAAAAATGTAAAAAACTGGAATGAGCATCCCTCATACCCTAAAAATACATATAAACTGGAAACACCCACTAAAACCAATTTTGTTAAAATAAGAAACTGAGGTTAAAGAGCAACCAGTCTAAACCCTAAAGCAACACAGACTAGGAAACAATAGGAGGTGAACTTGGCTCAGTGACAATGGCTCTAGGAGAGAGATGTCAAACCGTGTGTAGTGGGAGAGGAGGATTCAGACTCCCTGTGCTGCTCCAGGTGAATGTGGTTAGCCTGACAGCACAGAGCTGTCAGCACAGACTCACACCACAGGCCCTACCGTGCTCAGAGGAAGAATCACGAGCAGAGTAGGGGATGCAAAGAACTGTTCCCCAAGGGGTGGGCCTGGACAAGGGAAGCTGCTCCAGCTGTGTGAAATGCATAATGCCCTACTTGGATCTTTCTTCCCCACAGAACATGAGTCTGAAACTGCAGGAAGAACTGTGGCAGGAAGAACTGTGGCAAAATCATAGAACAAGTGCATAAAACAAACAAACATCCCTGCACTCCTATAGGATGGGCAAAAAACCAGTCCCGCTCCCAGGACTATCTGTCAATACAGTGAATGAATCTACCAGTAAGTGAATCTACCAGAAAACCCTCTTCTGTAGTAGATTCACCAAAAACTAAAAGCCGATCTGAGATACCTGCTGGGGATTAAGATTGTTTCTATGACAAAGGCCCTCCATGGAGACCAGTAACACAGGACCTGCATGGGGAAAACAGGAACAAGCTGGTCTCCCTCTAGGCTGGCAGCTGCAGCCTGTGGCCAGTGGACGAGCAGGAAAGGGACAGAGACCCTTCTGAGACAAGGCACACGGATGCAGGCAGGATTAAGGCTGAGGAAGGACAGGATGGCTGGGCATACCCAGCACCACCCTGTGTACAAATGAAGTCTTGTGAAATCCCAAGCCAATGTTTCACAGTAGGTTATGGTGGAAACACTGAACCAAAACCTAACTTGTGTCCTGACACATTAAGTCAAGAACCCGCCCTCATGGTAGAGCACAGGAATGGGCAAGGCTACTTCTCGGCCTAAATTCTGTTTAGCTGTCTCTACTTTTCTACAACAATACTAACACCCAATCAAAAATTAACAGGTACACAAAGCAGCAGAAGCAACAATAAAAAGCACTGTCAAAAACAAACTAATCAGCATTTGAGATGGGCACACCTGTCATCGCAGCTACTTGGGAGACTGAGGCAGGAGGACTGCTTTAGCACTGTCTCAAAATAAGATGGGAGAGAAAGGAAGGAAAAAGGAAAGACATAAATCAACAGTTGAGCTCTTGTTATAAGTAAACCAAAGTTTAAATAACCATAATTAATATGTTTGAGCACTTGTCGAAAAAGCAAGAAAAAAGCATGAACAGCTGGGGACTGGAACAGAAAGAATCTGTAAGATAGTGCTAAATGAAAACGCTGCACATAAGAAACTCTGTAACAGGAATAGGAATATTTTCAATGGATTCATTAGTAAGTAACACAGCTCAGAAAAGAAAGAGCTTGAAGAGTGGTTGACTGAAATTAGCTACACTGAAGCACAAAGAGAAAAGAAGAGCAGGAGCTAAAACAGTAAAAAGAAACCAATATTACTAACATAACTTCTTTAGAATATGTTTTCAAGTTACACATTTATGACCCAGTAATCCCACTCCTAGGTAACAAAAGACAAAATTATGTTTGCAGAAATCTGCTCTGTGAAGATATGTAGTACTTCTCCACTTAATTTCCAAAGTCTGGAAACAAGTCAATATCCTTCAACTGCTAAATGGATAAACAAACTAGGTAGCCATAAAGTGGAGTACTAGTCAACAGAAGAAATTAAATACTGATGAAAGCAACAACACAGGTTAATATCAGAAGTACTATGCTCAAAAAGCTACACATTTATGATTCCATTTACATTGATACTTTAACAAAGACAAAAAAGAGCAAGAACAGGTAACTGGAAGTTACTGCATATCAGGCACTGGTATTGGGGTGGGGGGTTGTTTACAAAAGAACACAGCAGAAATCACAAAGGCTAAGAGAATTGTACTATATCTTGATTGTAGGGGGAGACTTCTGTCAAACCTCATAGAGCTAGTATGTTACCAGGTGAATTTTGCTATAGGTCAACTATATTCTAATTTAAAAAGTATTTTCTTATAAACTTTTATATGAGATCTGCATTTTAGTAAATGTATATAGTATGATACTGTCTTAAGTAGACTCGATATTTTCCAAATTTAAAAAAAATAATTACAAAAGATAATTTTGGCACTTGGAAGGAAGACATGAGTGACCTCTAAGACCTTCTCCAATTTCAAAGCTTTTGAGATGTGTATATGGTGCCCTAAACTTACACCTAAATATTTTATATAAATATAAATGTTTTTTCTACAAAAATATATATTAGCTAAAATTGTACTTTTAGTACAGTCATGTGTCACATCATGACATTTTGGTCAGCAACAGACTGTATAGATTAAATTAGTTCCATAAATTATACCATGTCCTGATATCATAGTTGTCTTAGTTTGTGTAAGTACACTCTATGATGTACTCGAGGATACATTTGTCAGAACATGTCCCCACCATTAAGCAATACAGACACTCCTCGTTTAACAACTGAGTTCTGTTAACTGCAACTAGGTTGTTAAATGAATTGGTTGCTAAATGAGGAACGTGTACACAGTTAGTACTATGTTACAATATTCAGAAAGAAGAAGTGGTGGAAGGAAACCCCAACCTCAATTACTTCGCTTTTATTTGTATAACTCTTACATGCAGTAATGTAATGTATAACAGCACATAAAAATACAGTACTGTACTATACAGTACAATCAGCAAAAATTACAATGCTGTACTGTAGAAGCCACCATAAGGCTGCACTGCTACTCATGTTCCCGTGTCATAAGAGTGCAGATCACAAGTCCATGTGACAGTTTGTAAATCATAATAGTCATTAACCACGTAGGTTGTTAAACAAGGAATAGCTGTACACGACAACATACCAGTATAAGTACACATACACAAAATATTCTGGAATATTCACCAGTATTATGGTTTTATTGCACAAAAGTGTATTTTTTATGTACTATAAACCTTTGATTATAATGCAAAGGAATTGTTATTTTTACAAAGTATACATTCGGGGCTGGGAATTTAGCTCAGCGGCAAAAGTGCCTGCCTGGCAAGCGCAAGGTCATGAGTTCGGTTCCCGGTACCAGAGAAAAACTAAAAAAAAAAAAAAAAACAAAGTATACATTGTACAACAAATTAAAATTAAAGAAATTAGGAATTAGGTCATATTTTCAAGCCTCTAATCTCTGGTTTAAGAAAATACAAAAGCATCATTTTATTAAATTGACATGTTGATTAATATACCAGAAGATCAGAAATTCATCCTTATGAAAGTGGGGTGTGAATATCATTCCTCTATTGCAGCTAAGTCCAAGCCGCTACACTCCTCTAGTCCTTATCCTAACCTTCTGCCTTAAGACAGAAAGTAGCTCCAAGTAGAAAATGCACGACAGAATTGACTCTTTTAAAACATAAATCCAGTGCTCACTTCAGCAACACATATACTAGAACATAAATCCATTTTTTCATTTTTAAAAGAAAATCCTAGAAAACAATATTTTCCCATTTCTCAAAATTTTTTCCTAGCCCTTTCCTTCATGGCATTAGAAATCTTTGAGCATATCTGTGAAACAGTGCCCTCTCCAGAACTCAGTATAGAGTATGCCATCGTACCAGGAAGCCCAGGGTGGGCAGTCTGTGATGACCCAGCAGGCTCTTCACTCTCGCTGCTCCCCGTGTCAGTTCTGTAGGAGCTACTGGTATTCCCACTAGAAAACAAATGTATACATGGTTTCAAAGAATATATGCATTTAAAAAGAATCTGTAATTCTCTTGTTATTCAACAGACTTCTACTCATTTCAGCTCATCACCCACTCTCACTGTCACTGTCTGGAACAGGCTCATTTTTGAGATAATTCCAAAATCACAGTGTCTGATCAGAACTCCACCTCCTGCCACTTTACCTGGCTTGCAAAATAGCTACCTTGCATCAATCCCCCTCTTCACCTTCTGTCCTTCCTTAGCCAGTCAGTTGAGTCAGTGAGAGAAAAGTACTGGAGTCACAGGGGTGCTGAATGTCAGCAGAGAACCATCTGGAACACCCAATGTCCCTGGTCAATTTCCTGTACCATTCCTCTGCTGCTGCTAGGTCTGTCATTGCCCTTCTGTAGTCCTTACCCTAATCCTGTGCCTTAGCCCCATCTAGAAAATTCAAGACAGAATTGACTCTTTTAAAACATAAATGCATCAACTTTCTTCTTTACTCCTTATTTTCTTCCTGTTCAGAATTAATCCTTCTATACTTTCAAACCCATCCCTTCTGTTTTCTGAGAGATTTTTCTACACCTTCATCTTTCTTTATTATCTATATATTTTTTCATAACACAGAAAAAGAGTTCTCTTATGTTTTTCCCCCCTTCAGTCTTCTGAGATATTCTCACTATGTAGTTCCGGCTGGCCTCGAACTCATGGCAATCCTCCTGCCTCAACCTCCTGAGTGCTAGGATCACAGGTGTGCATCTCCACACCTGGCACTTCTCTCTTACCTTAAAATAAGAAACCTCTAAACTCCTACTTCTGTCTGACTAAGAACTTTTAACAGACTTTTCAAACATTAGCCCATGTTCACTTTCTGTTTCCTCTTCAGCCTCTTGCTCCTCATTATTCACTTCGGTTTGCTTGCCTCTTGTATTTCATTTGAACCTTACTTAAGCAAAAGCATCCATAATGTGACTTCTGGATCTAATCTTCAGAGTCTATAGAACATTCTTCTTATGACACAAAAATAATTATACCTGCAAGCCAATTTTAGGATAAATCAAGGCCCCTTGTTCCTTGTTGGATACAAACCTTAGGATGTTGGCAAATTAGCCCTTGCCTACTTTTTCATCATTTCTAATTTCCTACATGTACTTTATACTTTAACTTTAGAAAAATAAATGGCTTTCTCTTTTGCTTCTGTGAGTAATTTTAGATTACTCAACTCTTTTCATTTCTACCACTCCAAGCTATCCTCACTGCTACCAAGAATCTTCTAGAAATGCAGATAAATAAAACAGTAACAACTTACCTGTGCTTCATTTTGTTAATAAACCAAATAAAGTGTATACAAGATTTTGTCCACATTCAAATACACTGCCCTCTCCACCAGCTCCAAGCACATGTACAGAGCTTCGAAGCTGTGTATGGAAATGACAGAGAAACGGAATTTCATCTTCTTGTATTAATCCTGTATTTTTGAAACTATAAAGCCAAATTAGGTTTACCAACAAGTGCACTTTGAAAAATTAAACCCACGAGGGCCCTCATTCACTGCCTCTCCAGAGGGCTAGCAATGACTGTGAATAGAATAAACAGAAAACTCACTCAATAAACATATTAGTTATACCTTTCTAAATGCTTTGATAAAATACACTGATAATCATTACATGGGAAATTCTGATGAGAGCATTTTACCTTTTCTGAGTTAACTTTATTTTTAAAAACCTATAGGCATAAGAAGGGAAACAAATTATAGCCATGATTTTAGGAGAATAGAGCTAAATGAAGTATGTTTGCTACAGCTTCTTAAGAATAATAAGGTCCTCAGTAAAAGAATTAAAACCACAATTGCCTAGTGCTACTTATACCCCTAGGAATTCACTTGCAACATTTCTCTCGTAAGTATTCTCCCATCAGTTAAAACAGAGAGTAGAGCACTACACAAACATAAGTGATCCACACTGAATCACCAAGTGGATTTCTAAAGTTAATGAAACTTAGATCTTTTGGAAAAAGCAGATTATTGCTGCAGCCCAGAAAAGTTCTTGTAAGTGCATGTAACATTTAGTTAATAATGTTCTCAGGACTATACTCATTGCCAGTACTTGCACCATCTAATACAGTCGTAATCTACACACGCCTCCAGCAGAAGATTCTGCAGGGCCCAATGGAGAGGTTTGAGCCCCCATTGATGGACTTGCCACATTCTATATAGTCCCTAGCTCCATGGTGGACAGCATAACTTTAACTACAGGAGGAAAATCACATTAAAATAAAGATTTCATAACCAATATTTTAGCTCTTGCTTTCACTTCAGTTAGTCCACTCCTTAGTTTGACAATCTTTTCTGGGGACATGGTAGGTACAGGAACTGTGTTCAAGATACAGTAGTGAACTGTGGTATGTGCTTGCCCTGGCAGAGTATAGATATGCTCATGGGGAAACTGACAATAAGTATGAAACAATACTGCTGAGGGTATGTTACTATACACAGACAATATGGTGAGGGCCAACTGCTGGTACCTAAAAGATGAAAGGAAAAGGCCAAACACTTGAGTTCTCAGTTCTGTCCCTGCCTAATTTTCTACCTTCACTTCATGCCTCTCTACTTCTCATCTAGGGTCTCTAGTCACAACCTAGGTTCTGTCCTTTCATCTTTTTGAAGTATCTTTAGTAATGTAAATTCTGTAAAGTTTAATAATCTTTACCTTTCCTGCTAGTGTGTGTGGTCTGTGTAAGTATGTTTTGCTTCATTTTGTAAGACCTTCTAGCCCTGGAATGCACTGATTCAGCCATCGTTACAGAATATGGACCCAAACACAATTATTATTTAATGTAAGTTAATATAAAGATATAAGCAACTACTTGGTATTCCTGTTAAATCTATTAGCTTTGCTGAGCAAGATGAAACATCAATAAACACTTACTGAAATGTAAAATTAACTATTTTGGGAATAATATGATCATTATAGATTTATTAAATTCTAATGGATTAATTGGCATTTTGAATAACATATAAAGTATAAGTTTTAGTAAGTTCTTCCCTACACAGAGTAAGAAAAATGAGTTTTCTATATATTTTTCTAAAATTTTTAAGGTTTAATCTATTAGCAGCAATTTCATGGTAGTGTACCTTGCCCATCCTATTGAATCGCCAAAAGCAAGCCATCTCCATTTAGCTGGACATTCATAAGGTCCAACAGACCACATCTGGCACCAGGTGAGCTCTGCAGAATGTGGGACACAAAAGAGGAGCCACAACTTCTTAGCAGGACAGCCTTAGGCATAAGCATCAGGTGTTTCCATGCAACCTAGTGTCAGCTCAGGTGTCAGGAAGTAAGACTACCAAGTGGAGAGGAGAGTCACCCAGGCTTAGAAGCCTCAGGCTCCATGGGAACCTGTATCTCTTCCCACAATCCTGAAAACTTAACTTCTTTTTTTTTTTTTTTTTTTTTTTGTTTTTCTCCAGTACCAGGAACCGAACTCACGACCTTGCGCTTGCCAGGCAGGTGCTTTGCCGCTGAGCTAAATCCCCAGCCCCAATCCTGAAAACTTAACTTCTGGGGATCACAGAAAAGACCTTTTCATGTTCAGTAAAGATCCTATTTGTGTTTACAATGAGACATTTATCACCTTAGCCACAGTCTCTCCAGTGCTGAATTCATTTTTACAGTTTAACACACTTGATACTCCACCTTCATCTAGGTGCCAAAGAATTATGGGGCTAGAAGACTAGTACAAGGTAATTTCCTCTTAGAGAAGACAAAGTTTTGTGGCAGGCAGTAATACAGTTTTATTTCCTCTATTGGAAGAGTAAACTGTATCAGTACATTAACTGGGCAGACCATTATATTGCCACTAATGTGCAATGAACTGACAAATAGAAAGTTCCTATACAAGCATGAGTCTTTCTGAGCCTTCTATCTACTTCCATTGATTTTATTTGCCAATTTCTATACTATTTCTACATTTTATTAATTCTTACATGTATATGGCTTCATAACTTGTAGTGCCAACCATCCAGCTACCATACACCTACATTTTCCTCCTTTATCTAATATTGTCTTGCTTATTGACCTTTTGTTTCCCCAAGTGAATTTTTTAATCAGCTGATAAAATCTCATACACACAAAAATAATTTTTATAAAATTCTTTCTATAAAATTAACTTTGTAGTTTAAATTGGAATAATTGATTTTTTTATTATATTAAGTCTTATTATCCCTTAATATGGAATAGCTGCCTATCAAAAGTACTTATGTAGTATTCTCAGTAAGAACTATTCACACCTTCTCTTGGATTTACTCCTAGAAATTTTCAGCTAGTGCCATTGTAAATGTAATATAGGTTAACCCCTTATATCTGCTAAGTACTGAACAACTGAAAGCCACATTTTTATATCTAGTACTTTTATACATTCTACCCTAAATACTTCATTATGATTTCTTCTTTGAGCCATAAATTTAGAAGTATGTGTCTTTAAATTCCAAATGTGTATTTCACCTTTTTGTGATTTATTTCTAGTTGAGTTGCTTTATGTCAGAATAGACAGTACATAAAAATTATTTGACCTCTGTTGAGATATATTTTACAAGTTAGTGCATGGAAAATATTTGTAAATGATCCATCTTTGCTTGAAAAGAATGTGTGTTCTCTAAATTTTAAATAAGTTCTATATATGTTCGTTTTGTTTAATTTGTTAATTTTCTTTAAAAACTTCTAAACTCTTAACAAAGTATCTGATCTATTATAAAAAAGATATTTTAAAGTAGTCCGCTATCAGTGAATTTACGAATTTATCCTTGTAATTCTTTCCAAACAGTAGTCCCCCTCATCCGCGGTTTCAGCTGCTTACAGTCAACTGCAATCCAAAAATATTAAATGGAAAATTCCAGGTGTAAATAATTCAAAAGCTGTAAGTTACACACTACTTTAGGCAGCATAATGAAATCTCATGCTCTGCCATCCTAACCCACCTGGGAGCTGAATAGTCTGTCTCCTTCTCCACTGTGTCCACAAGGGGTATGCCACTTGCCCTCTCATCTCTTAGTAGCCACCTGGGTTATCAGATTAACCAAACCATATCATAAGCACTGTATCCAAATAACCCCAATTTTACTTAATAATGGTCCCAAAGTACAAGAGTCATTATTCTGGTAATGATTGTGGCAATTCAGACATTGAGATCTAGAGGAGAAAAGGGAGCAAATTTTCACATCATGAGCATTCCATGAATGGAATAAAAGTGAAAAGGTATAGAAAATGAAAGTGAAAAGGTACAGAAAATATATTCAATGAAATAGCTGCTGAAAACTTTCCAAATCTTAGTAGATATGGATATCCAGGCCCAGCAAGCTCAAAATACCCAAATTGAGTTCAACCAAGATCTTTAAAGCATATGATATTCAAACTGTAACAAGTCCCAGACAAAAAGATAATTCTAAAGACATCAAGAGAAAAAGCATCAAGTTGTTTATAAGAGAATCCTCATAATAGCAAACTTTTCAGCAGAAACCTTACAGGTTGGAAAGAAAGGGATAATCATTTCAAAGTCCTAAAAAAAATACCAAGAATACTATATCCAGCAAAGCTATCCTTCAGAAATGGATTGGAAAAAAGACATTTGAAGACAAAAAGAAAATAAAGGAGAAAACCCCCTCCAGAGAAAACTTAAGAGAAATACTCAAGGGAGCCCTATAACAGGAGCAAAAGGACCACAACTTACAAATTTTTTATATCGAAGGAGATGCCTGATACCAAGGACACACACACAAATAGAAAAACATAAACACACACATTCTATAGGCCAATACCCTTAATGAGCATAAATCCTTAATAAAGTATTTGCAACTTTTACTAAAATACATTAAAACCTTGGCTTGCAAGCATAATTCATTCTGGAAACATGCCTGTATGCCACAGCGTTTTTACATCAAAGCAAATTCCCCATAAGAAATAATGGAAACTCTGATGATACATCCCGCAACCCAAAAATAGTAATATAAAATTATTACAATACAGTAATATAATACAAAACAATAAAGAAAATACAAAATATAAAGAAAAATAAATTAACCAGCACTTAGCTTTGAAAACCTCCATGGCTGGTATAAGGGGGGAAGGATTATTGTGTAAGACAACTTTCACTATCACTAACAAAATCACTGCTACCTATCGGATCAATGGAATCTTTTTCTTTTCATGAAACTTTAATAAGGAACCTATCCCATGACACTCGCTCTTGCTTCCTTTTGAGGATTTTGCAGAAATATGACACTGCATTGTCATTAGATTTATTACTTGCATTGCTATAGCCTCACTCAGGGGGTGCTTTCCTACAAAATTTTGCACTGCTTCCCACATTTTACATATCTCCTTAATTTCATTTGTAGTGAGTGATTCCTCCACCTTTTTCTCCTCTTCATCTGCAGATGAGATCTCCTTCACAACCTCTTGCTGTTGGAAGACAACACACAATCCCACAGTGAGTTGGAGGGGACCATTTGCTCAGTTGTGATCATGTGACATTCAGCTTCACTTACTACTTTACTGCAAAACATCACTTGTTTACCTAGTTAAATATTATTAGAAATATGCATTTGTCCTGTGGAACACTCATGGAACAAGTTACTTGCAATCCAAGGTTTTACTGTACTTTCAAACCAAATCAAACAACACATTAAAAAGTTCATACACTATAATCAAATTGTTTTCATTGCATTATACTCAACATATGCAAATCAATAAACACAAAACACCACATAAATAAGATCAAAAATAAAAATCACATGATTCAACTGATATGGAAGTATCACTCACAAAATATAACATCCCTTCATGATAACACACCTAAAGAAAGTAAGGATCATACCTCAACTTTTATGTGATAAACTCACGGTATTACACTGAATGGGGAAAAACTGAAAACATTTCCTCTAAAATCATAAATAAGACAAATATGTTCCATCTCACCACTCCTTCTTCACACAGTACCTAAAGACATTAGCTAGAAAGATTAGGTAAGAAAAAGAAATAAAAGGTGTACAAATAGGGAAAGAAGTCAAATTATCCCTATTTGCAGATGATGTGAGCCTATACTCTGCAGACTCTAAAATGCCACCAAAAGACTTTTAAAATCTGATAAACAAATTCAGCAAAGTAACATGATATAGAATTAACACTAAAGAAATGCATAGATGGGAAAGAAATCAAGAAAACAATTCCACCCACAAAACCTTAAAAGAAAACCCTACAAATCAGCTTAATAAAGGAGGAGAAAGACTTATATAACAAAAATTACAGAACACTAAAGAAAGAAACTGCAGACACAGGAAGATGAAAAGTGTTCCCATATTTATGGATCAGCAGAACTAACACTGTTAAGATAGCTGTTATTGTTTATATCTAGACATTCTCCTAAAGCCTCATGCACTCATAGGTAGGGCTCTAGGGAGTGACTGGATTAATCTACTGATTGATTTAGCAAAGTTCTCAGTGTGGATGATGCATTTACTGAAGAAGGAACATCCACTTGAATGTGAATGGCACCAACCAACAGGATTGCTGCCTGAATGGAATGAAAAGAAAAAGTAAAAGGAAGTCTTAACTTCCTCCTGTCTGCCATGCCATGGACTGTTTCCTTTCTTCTATGCCAGAATCCTGCCATACTGCTCTGCCTTGGAGTCAGTTGACTACAAACTGAAACCTCTAGAAACTGTGAGCTGAAATAAACCTTTCCTCCTTTAATTTGTGTGTGTCAGGTATTTTGTTCCAGCAACAAGAAAGTGACTAAGACAATGACCATATTACTGAAAGTGATCTACAGATTCAATGCAATCCTCATCAAAATTTTAATGACATCCTTCACAGAACTAGAAAAAAAATCCTAAAATTCGTATGGAAACACAAAAGACCCAGAATATTCAAGTAAACATAGGCAAAACGAGGAAAGCTGGAGGTACCACAATACCTAATTTTAGGTTATATTAGAATGCCATAGTAATAAAAATGGGGGTCCTGGCATTAAAAACAGAAATGTAGACCAATGGAATACAGTAGAGGACACAGAAACAAAGCCATGCACCTGCAGCCATTTGATTCTTGACAAAGGGGCCAAAACATATTCCACAGAAAAGACAGGCTCTTTAATAAATGGTGCTAGGAAAACTGGACAATAATATGAAGACTGAAATTACAACCCTAACTCTCATCCTGTATAAAAATCAATTCAAAATGTATCACAGACCTGAAACTTTGAAACTACTAAGACAAAACACAGAGGAAACAATTGAAGTCACCGACACAGCCATAGACTTACTGAATAGGATTCTATTAGCACAGGAAATATAACCAAGAATCAACAAACGAGACTTTACCAAATTAAAAAGTTTCTGCACAGGAAAGGAAACAATGAATAGAGTGAAAAGACAGACTACAGAAGGGGAAAAACTCATTGCCAGCTATTCTTCCAATAGAAGATTTCTACATACAACATATAAAAACTCAGAAAACTTAACATCAAGAACAAATGGCAGACCCTGTCTCAAAAAGACAAAAAAAAAAAAAAAAGAATAAACAGCAAAATTAATGAATGGAAAAATGAACAGATACATCTCAAAAAATACAGATGTCCAATAAGCATATGAAAAAAATTCAACATCTTTAACTATTAAGGAAATGTAAATCAAAACTACATTGAGATTCCAACTCATCTTAATCAGAATGGCTATCATTAAGAATATAAAAAACAAATAAATGTTGGCAAGAATGTGGGGAGAAATGAACCCTTCTATACTACTGGTGACAATGTAAATTAGTACACAGACCTTATGAAAATCAATACAGAGTTTTCTCACTCTACACTCACCTATACTACTTGTTGGTAAGTACCTGAAGGAATTAAAGGTAGCATACTATAAAGATTCCTGTGTACTCGTGATTACTGAAGCACAATTCACAACAGCCAATTTATGGAACTAATCCAGGTTCCCATCAATAGATGAATGGCTAAAGAAAATGTGATATATATACAATCAAGAATTATTTAGCCATAAAAAGAACAAAATTATATCATTTGCAGGAAAATGAATAGACTCAGGTCATCATGTTAGCCTAAATAAGTAAGAATGACAAGTATTACATGTTTTCCCTAATACAGCAAATGAAAAAATAGACATAAAAGTAGAAGGAGTACTATTATTAAATAAGAGGAAGAGAATAAAGATATAAAGGATGTGTTATAATTTAGACCTAAAAATATTCCCCAGAAGTCTCATTTGTTTCAAGATGGGGGCTGGCTGGAAGAGACAGTTCACTGTGATATGGACCAGGCAGGGTGGATTCTTGTCACTAGCTCCTCCCTGTTCCCTGGCTGCAACTGGGTGACCAGCTGCACTATACTATGCTATTTTACCATGGTGTTCTTGCCTTAGAGCCAGTTGATCATACATGAACTGAACCTTCTGAAATCATGAGCTAAAATAAACTTTTCCTTCTTAAATTGTAGGTGTCAGGTATTTTGTCTCAAAAATGGGAAAATGACTAATGCAGTAAAGGGGGCCAGAAATGATCAAAATGTTATATGAAAAATTTTAAAATCAGCATAAAAAGGCGAGTTTTTTTTTAAAGAAAATTGATAATATGGAACTAAAAGTAACCCCATTCTCAAGAACCTCAACAAAAGTAAAACAACTCAAAATGGATCAAAGACTTAACATAAGACCTGAAAGTAGGAAAGTACAGGGGAGACACTCCAGGAAATTGGTCTCAGCAGATATGTTTGGTTAAGACTCCAACAGCTCAGGCAAAAAAGAAAAAAATGACAAATCATCAACAGAGTTAAGAGACAACATATGGAAAGGGAAAAAACATGTGCAAACCACTCATATGACAAGGATTAATTCCAGAATATATAAGGAACTCATAGAACTTAACAGCAAAATAATAATAATAATAATAATGGTAATAATCTAATTAAAAGTGATAAATTATCTAAACAAACATTTCTCCTAATAGGTTATATGAGGTGTGATCACAAAATACAGGGAATGCTGCTACAGAAGCCATCCCATAGAAAGGCAGGGATCTTCAATATAAGAAGTGATGCACCAAACCTTAGCAATAGCATGTGAAAAATTCCAACTTATTCAGTGCCATCAGTCAGTTGAGAGGTATGGTTGAGAGAAAGGGTGTTTTAAAATAAGCCATCAATCATAGATCATGCACAATACATTTCATTGGAATCATGTAATTGCATCACCTCCAATTCCAGATTTTTAAGAAATGTCATCACAGAAAGTAAAACTTGGTTCTATGGTTATGATCTTGAAACCAAGATTCAGAGTTTCTCAATGGAAATCACCCAGTTCTCAAGCAAAAAAAGTGTGTCAATTAAGATACAACATCATGGTAATGTTTTTTGACCTTGATGGAACTGTGAAAAGTGAATTTTAATCCAGGTATACTACAGTCAACTCTGAATACTGTAAGCACTTAGTAGAATGTTTAAGAAATGATGTATATAGAAAACATACTGAGAAAAGGGCAAATGGTTTCACTCTCCATCCTGACAATGTTCCATCTCACATACTACTTCTGGTATGACAACTTCTGTCAAATAAACTCATTACAATGTATCTTTATCCACCTTATTCCTTAGATCTGGCACCATGTGACTTCTGATTCTTCCCCAAAATAAATAAATTCAGGACATCAAGGCAGCCACAACAGCACAACCAAAGACAAAAAAGAGGACTTACAGAAATGTTCCAACAAGTTGCAAGAATGATAGGATTTTTCAAAGTGAGGGGAATATTCTGATGAGAAATATTGGCACTGTATCTTTTATTGTGATAAATTTTTTAAAATTTAACTTTTCATCACACCCTGTAAAAAAATCAGGAAGCATATGAAAAAGTGCTCAACACCGCTAATTACACCAAGGAAATGCAAATCAAAACCACAATAAGATCTATTTTATCACTTAAAATGGTAACTATCAAAAATAGAAAAATAGCAGG